ACGTCGTAGTAACGTTAGTTAAGGTAGGTAGTAAGTAAACGTAAAATAACTACTAGTTCTATTTACTTTATTGGTCGTGTAGAGACTTACTTACTATATATATATATATATATATATATATGGAAAACATTTATGTAACGTTGCAACCTTAAAATGTAGAATTACAGATGCACCTCAAAAATCTATCGTAAATGTTGTTTTAATGTTAAAAAACCCTCCATTTGATCATCTCGATATGGAGATGTATGAAAATATAAAAAAAAGGTTCTTGAGCCTCAGAAATAGTGCATCTTGCAACACATTATCTAAACTGTCTATTTTCAAGATTTTCATATGCTTATTCTCCTTGATTTTAACTATTTTTGAAGTTTAAAATTTTCTAATTAGATATGAAAATAAATTTTAAGATAATTTTAAAAATGTTTTACAACAAAATTACATGTTATGATTGGAGATGCGCCTTAATTGGATTGTTTAAGGTTGCAACCTTGTAAAAACCGCATCCTATATATATATATATATATATATATCTTAATGCAAATTGATAGCAAAGTTGTAGAGGTTACAGCGAAAACCTTGAGGGCCAACTAATATTTTAGATTAAATTTCACCTGAGAGTGAATTGTGGAAACGCACCTAGCATTAGATTCTTGACTTTTAGGGTACGTTTGGTTGACCCGTGAGGCTTTTATAGGTTAGGCATTATAGAGGTTGAGGCTTTTATAGGTTAAGTAGAGATACTTATGGCAGGACTCAAGCATATACCACACAATATGTAGGGTAGGTTTGATAACTTTGTTTACAGTTTCGCTGGGATCCTCCCAGATACTAACTTTCCTGAAATTTGGAAAGAAAATGAAAATTGATAGCCAAAAAGTGGAAGCCGTGTTTAATAAACTGTGATGCTGCTATTTTCACACATGTTTAGTAGTGGGAAAGCCAAATTTCACCTGTTTAGCAGTGGGAAAGCCGAAAACATCATGTTTCAACCATTCATTATGTATTTCATTGAATTGATGTGCAAAATGTGTATTTTCAATAAGATTTTCTTTCTATTTTACCAACTTACTAGCATTTTAGGTTCCATAATTGATCTTAATGTTGCAATTGAACACCGGGTAAAATGATCCGGACCTCTTTATTAGCTACCATACACCCTCTCAAATATATGTTATTTCTAGCGTAACTGGAAGAGATAAATTGGGGTTCTACAACTGATCTCACTATTGCAATTGAAAGTGGGATAGTCATAATTAAATTTAAAAACAAAAAACAAAAAAAGTGGGGTAGTCATAATTTGACACCCCTTTGTGTTTAAGAATTCTAAAAAGCAATTTCACAATTAATACAATATTCAATTATACCCACTACTCGTGTCCTATGCAAAGCAACAAATAAAAATAGAGTGATAAAACAAGCAGGCAAATAGACCCAATAGTTTCAAGAAAGCACGATAACAGATATCCATAAAGAATACCAATGATCTTCCACTTTCTGATAGTATCTCAAGATGAGGGGTGAGATTACAAGAAAATTGAACTCCACTACTAAAAAGGATATGCAAAATAGAAAGTTGGGGAAATATTCAATCCAATGGTGACAAATCAGAAAAGAAAGAGATAAAATGGAGCAAATAATTTGACAAAGGGCACAGAAACACCAGGAACATAGAAAAACTTAACCAAGAAATGAGAAAGAAAGTAAATTACTATCGAGAGGAGCGTGCTAAAATGCGATAACAAAATATAAATACCTAAAGACAAATGAGTATAGATACGACCAACAAACATAAGAGAAAACAGCAAACAAAATATGGTAATAAAAGATTTTATATACTAAACCAAAAGAGTCAAACCTAAATAAAATAGAAAACTACCTGTCTTCACTAACAAGATTGAGAAAATTATGTTGGTTTTCTACAAACCAGCAGCAGATTCAATCTAGATTCCCATATAATTTGAAGTTAAAATGAATTAGAATTAATCCAATCACTTCAATAAACATAGATACTTATATTAGGAATAATTTGCAGCAGAAATAATAAAAAAAACGTGATTGTTTTATCACATTTTAGACTGATTTTGCTACTGCAAAATGCAGCAGTGCAAAACAAAGAATTTGATCAAAATGAATGTTGATTTGGTTATTTGATCAAATAATTAATTCACTGAAAATCCATATAAAATATTTTTAGTTCTTAAAAACTCATAAATAAATCCCAAATAGCCAACAAGAAAGATAAAATAAACTCGTATAACTAACAAGAGAATAAATAAATAAACCACATAACCCCATAATGAAAAAAAAATGAAAACATGAAAACCCCATAATGAACCAGGGAACCATTCACGATACACAAAAAAATCTCGCAACAATAAATAAATAAATTGTCGATCTTGCTACACTTACGGGCGTTTCCTTTCAACATATCTTTAGCGATGGAAATGAGTAGGCCAACTATCTGGCTAAGAACGGGTCTCTGTTGGATGCTTGACTTATTTGTGATGATGTAAATGCAATCTAGTAACATCTAGAGTTTGATCAATAAAATATCGAATATTGTCAAAAAAAATAAAAAATAAAAAATAAAAAATCATATAACCAGCAAGAAAATAGTAAAAATCGTGTAACGAGCAATCTAGAGAAATGGGGAAAAAGTGAGTTCCGACTTTCCACAATTTCATTATTTCCAATCTAGAGAAAGCTACAGTATGATGAGAGAAAGTATGGGACTTTCTACTGTATTCTCAGTTATCAAACGCACCCATATAGGACTTTCTCCTGCTTTCTCTGTTATCAAATGCACTGTAGGAAACTAGAACCTTTTACAGAGACAAAATTTCATGACTCAGACATGATAAATTTTTTTCGGAAGTCACATCCACAATTTCATGTTAAGAATTATGACCAATCACAAGCAAGTCCGCATTTGATAAACTTTGAAAACTTACTGAACAGTATACAGTTATGCCAGATGGATCATCAAACCAATCACATAATAGCAGTCTTAACCTTTTGAACAAATATAAGAAAACCAGCAAAGAACATTCACAAAAAATGACATTCAACTCACTTTGGGATTCAAGAAGATTACACTCGCTAGAAACCAATGCCAAAACCTGTACAGCTCACCAAGAAAATGCCGAAATGCCTAGTTAGCCCTCTTATGCTCACCACCAGTTACAAGGGAGATAGCGTTGATCCATTTTTGGAAGGGCAGATACGAATGGTGCCTTTCACCTGTTCACAATAGAATGATCATTTAGAACTCTTTAAATTCTGAGGAGCATGTTTCTTTCATTCCTATCCCCAGAGCGTTTGCTCGTGCATGTGCCATGTAAAAACCAAAAAACAAAAGGGATTTCCTCTGATAACGAGCCACTCAGCCTAATAAATAACCTTGTTAGTCCTTCCTTCTACCGGAACCACGAATCTTTTTGCCTAAAGCAGAAGTCAAAGACTCCATTAATTTCTCAAAAGAGCGTCACCACCAATCTGCTGACCCATGTTTCCTCTTTTGATGAGTCATTAGGTCTGTCTTTTAATTGCAAGTTGCATCAGCAACCAGGTAAGGAGTGGGCAGAGGCTAGAGGAGAGATGCTTGCAGCTGACCCACTGCAATACAACAGGGATGGAAGCCGTTCTGATGATGATTCCGCATACAGCGGAGAGGCATTGCTCGGGCTGGGGATATATGGGGATGCAAGTCTTGGGTCAAGAGGAGGGTAGCCCAAGGAATGGCGAGATCTCTGCGATGAAGATGGAAAATTCCTGATGTTGTAGGAGCTCCTGCTTATGCTTAGAGACGATGAGAAACTGTTAGATCTATGTGAATGAGGCATGTAAGAGGTGGCTGTCATCGAGAGGGAACTAGCACGAGAGGAGTTGGGAGACCTGAATGATCCACTTCTTCCTATTTGTATGGCAGGTGAAGCAGCAGAGGAAGATGGGACTGAGGAGGCCATTGAGGAGGAGGTAGGGGAAAGGAGAGGGGTGCATTCAGAAGCTGGGGGTTCACCGGTGCCTGTCCTTGCATCGCGCTTGCATACAGGGCAAAATGTTCTCCAGATTGTCAACCAGGAATCCACACACATGGCATGAAACTCTGTTTACAACCAAGAAAACACATCAGAAGGAATCAACCTTTTATCTTTTCGGCTTTTCCCATTTAAGAAGATACAACTTGGTCAAGGAAAATATCACATTTCCATTCTCAAAAAAAAAAGAAAAGGGGAAATATCACATTTCTTTTGTGATATGAAACCAAAATTTCTCATATTTTGAAGTCAAATATGGCAGTGTCTTTGAATTTCGAATTCAAACCACTCCATGAAGTCAGTTAGATAGCCATTTTCTCAGCATCTCAAGATTTCGGCTCATCCAAACAATAATGATAAAAAAGTGGGAAAATATATCCGTACACCCTATTTTGAGGTTTCATTTCCATCAGACCTAAGGTTTGAGAACATTTCTTGCGGCATAGAAATCCCATATAAAATACATCTTCTAACCCCCTGGACCAACTTTACCTCTTTCGACCGTCCCATTTTAGCCCAAATGAAAGCAAGAAAGACGCATGCGTCTATTCTTTTCTAAAACCCCCTCTCTCTCTCTATAACAGTCACTCTCTTTTCTCTCGGTCTCTCTCCCTGCGTTTCTCCCCAAAACCTCTCTCTTTCTCTCCCCCATCTCTCTTTCAACCTTTTTCTAGAGAGAGAGAAACTCATTATAGAAAGAGAATGGGGTTTAGAAAGGAATACATACACAAGTCTTTATTACTTTTGTTTGGGCTAAAAAGGAGCGGCCAAAAAGGATAAAGTTGGTCTAAGGGGTTACAAGATATACTACATGGGTTCTCTATGCCACATGAAATGTTTCCAAACCTTGGGTCTATTAGGAAATAGAACCTTAAAATAGGGTGTACGAAGATATTTTCCCTAAAAAATTAGTAACACTTATTAACATTTGCATTCATCTCAAGATTAGTATCCACAAATGCTCGTCGGAAAATAGTGCCATTAACTGAAAAAGAAAAAGGTTGTAATTCAGCTAACACTGCTGGATTCAGGGCCAGAATGAAAATACGTTATGAAACGATTTCACAAAAAGAAAAAGAAATCACCATGGTACTAAAAAATAGGCAACACAAGGTAATCATGATGTGACTGGGGAAGAACAAACATACTGTGGCAACATGGCAACACTCTTAGCTTATCCCCTGGAGCATAGTCCTCTAGGCATATAGCACATGTTCCAGCTGTGCAGTTATCTTCTAGCACAGAAGTGAAAATGAGGCTTGGCAATGCCTTCACTAATCGGCTGCTCATCCCATGGAACTCACGAACATGAGGGGTCTGAGGCCTTTCTCGTCGTATGCGATGCCTACGAACAAAGAAACATGTTGCAAGCACAGCAGACAATGCAAGTAGCGATATGAAAGAGATGGCCATGATAGACCACGCAGAGTTTTCAAAATTAGGGATTATCCATAGCTCCAATCCTGATGTACCCGCAAAGGTTTTTAGTACTTCACCCGATGCCTTGGAAACAAATATTGCATGTATTTTCACACCTGCAGAATTCCCTGCCACTGTTTTTCCATTTATTTTAGGGTTACCATAATATCCAACATAAAAATCCACAAGAAATTGCATATATGTCAATTATCAGCGTGGTCAAGGAGCCACATATTGAGATAATCATTAAGAAATGATAGCAGAGACAACGCTATGTTTTTCTTTAAAAGGTTGATTGTTTAAATAAGGTAAGTGTACAAAAAATGTCTCATTCCTGGAATCTGGTAGCTATATGCAGCACAAGTGGCTGCCAACCAGGCTGGGAGAGCTATACCACAATGACCTTAGGTGGAGAAGAGAAGGACAAAAGGATTGCACATTTGGGAGAAGAGGGGGCAAGGACGCCCAAGAGAGTATGGACTGAGTCTTAAAAAATTCACTCAGCCACTAGCATTTGAAGCGCCTGCCTTTGCAAGACAGTCAGCCTCTGAGTTGCTTTTCCGTCAAATGTGACTCCAATAAACTGTTAGTCCCAAACTGAGATGAGAGCGTCAAAAGTTCAAATAAGAGACCAGGGGCAAGATGCCGATCCATTCGCCCAGGAAATGACATTGCTGGAGTCACCTTCAACGATCAAGGCTGATATCCAAGAGCGATTGAACTGTTTGAAACCTTCGAGAAGGGCGAGAGCCTCAGCTGTTTGGGAATTAGAGACGCCAGTGTACTCAGAAAAGGAGGTCAGAACCAAGCCCTTGTGGTCCCTAAATAGCCCTCCAATTCCCGCAGGTCCCGGGTTGTCTAGGGAGCAACCATCGAAATAAGTTTAACAAGATCAGGTTCCTGTGGTCTCCACCACAGGTCCGGAGCGACTCGATGCTGGCTGAGATTGAGCATAGCCAGCCAATCCAAGTCAAAGGCCGAAGCAGGGAAGCTGTTGAAGGTTTTGTGGTTTGATTCCCAGAATATGATCGACGATTTGATCCTTTTGGATAAGGTAGCGAGAAGGACCTCTTACCACGGAAGATCCCTCTATTACGCTCGTTCCAGACAGTCCAAAGGAACGCTTCCATGGATGCCTTCCACAGAGGAATGCCCGATTTGGCCCAAGGGAGAGAGTGGAGCAAGGTGAAAAGGAGGGGGATGGTGCAAGGTGTCACCCATTGCCAGTGAAGCAGCTGAAGAAGAGCTCCCAAAATGTAATGGGCCACAGAGCAGTGAATGACGAGATGGGTGTTTGTCTCCTCCGCGGCCAGGCACATGGCGCACAGGTTTGTAGCTCGTCGACTGTTAGGACTCTATCCGAGAGAGCTATCCAGTCAAAGACCTTGATCTTGGAGACTGGGTCACAGGGAAAAGTGGGGGCCTCGATGAGTTCCCTATAAAAGGAGGAGACCAACAAAGTCCCTGTTGGTGCTGGGCACCAAATGATTGTCGTCACAAAGGGTCAGAAGGAAAATCCAGCAAAGGAGGGAAGAAAGGTCGAGAAATTCCTAGAACTCAGCATCTGAGGGCGATCTCCTAAAGATGGGGATCCAGACTCTGGCAGACCACTGTGTGGTAAACAAATTTGCTACGGTAGCTTGGTGGTTAGGGGCTGAAAGAAAGAGAGAGGAGAAAAGGTATTTGAGATGAGTGTGACTTATCCAGATGTCGTACTAGAATCTCACTCAAGTTCACCTTCTTGATGGAAGTGAGTGTTGCCTTTGAAGAGGTAAAAAAAGCTGAAGAAAGATCTCCATACACCCGAGGACCTGCTGTTGGCTTGACAACTGGGTAACCATGAGGTTCGATCGAGGTGGTATTTGTTGCGGATGACCTGCTGCCAAAGGTGGTTCTCTTGGGCAGCATAACACCACCACTTCCCCAGAAGAGCCATATTGGCTTTCCTGAGACCACGGATTCCAAGACCACTGTGGTGGCAGGGTGGGCATATCTTGTCCCAGGAAATGAGATGGAATATGTAGTTGTTAATATCGCCAACCCACAAGAAGTTTCTCATGAGTTGCTCAAGACAGGAACTGACTGATGCAGGCACTTGGAAGAGAAACATTTGGCAGATGCCCACATTGGATAGAGTGGCATTGATAAGGGTTACTCAACCTGCCGAGGATAGAAAGCGGCCTTTCCAGATAGCGAATTTGCGATCAAATTTATCGATGACATGTACTATTGACTTTGTTTGGATTTTCCAATCCACAGCGGAAGGCCGAGGTAGCTGGAGGGAAGATTTTCGACATTGGGAAACAAGGCATCCCAGTCATCTTGGTCTTATTCATGTTTACGTTAACCTGTGGCCCACTTGAAACACTTTGAGGAAGAGAAGTAGGTTGTCAACCTCAAGAAGGGAGGCATTGCAAAAGACCAAAGTATCGTCCGCATACTGTAGGTGAGTTATAGTGGGTCCTTGGGATCCAATCATGAACCCAGATTGGAATAGTCTATGGATGGAATGGCTGAATACTTCGACCACTATAGCAAAAAGGAATGGGGCACGGGGGTCATCTTGACGAAGCCCCCTCAAGGAAGGGAAGTAACCTTTGGGAGATCAATTTATTAGGATTGAGAAATGAGGGTTGGAGATGCAGCCTTGGACCCATTTCCTCCACCAACTGCCAAAGCCCATATAAGCGTGTGTTTCATCAAGGATAACCTAGTCAACGTTGTCATAGGCCTTCTCCCAGTCGAGTTTGATGTCCATACCGGGGTTTTAGAGAGGTGCCTCGAGTGGATTCATTCATGGGCGATTAGGGCACCATCAAGGATTTGGCGGTCCTTTACAAAAGCACCTTTGCTGGGGGGATGGAGATAGCAGAGATAATGCTATATTTAGATCATCAAAAACTTCTTCGAAAATGACACTTCAATCCATGCTCAAGTAATTGGTATATTTGTCCATTTTGTAAGTGCTTTTTGCATGAGAATGCACAAATGTGTACACCAGTGTTCCCAAACATGGATCAGTGGGTGGATTGTCCACTTCACATATCCATGTTGGACTGCTGGATTGGTGATCGAAATGGGTCCAGATCGGTCCAAATCGATGATCTAGAAATATATTAAAAAAACAAAAACTAAAACAAAAATAGAATAGAGTTTATGGGGTGGGGAGTTAGCGAGGACTTAATAAAACATTAGATAAGCTCAAAAAAATATGGAAGCGATTAGTTGGGGAACTGTATTCGGTCCTTGCCAGTTCCCGGAATGGATCAATGATTCCTGATCCGGGTTGCCAGGCTTCAAAACACCGGTGTGTACCCATGCATGAACCTTGACATCCATATATGAGATTTCTAAACTTTTTTCTAATGTAACCCCAACACATTCCTACACAAGCAAACAAAAATTGTAATGCATATCGTCTGTGGTTTTGCTTCACCATTAGCTTTGTTCCATCTCGAGAGCGTAAGTGTTGCCCCCTTAAAACGAGGCTTCTGAATCCTTAAAGCTTTGAGAAGAGTATTCTCCGAGGGAAAAGAGAATAGAAACGTAGAAAGAATCCAGCAAGAGAGTTCAGCCACATCCCAAGTTTCCGCTGCCCATCTCTGGATACCTTTAACGTCATTTCTCGGAGGCAAGAATCTTCCCACGAGAGAAAGCCTCAGGGCATGTTCGAGAGCAGCAGAATGTTTTCCGCAAGGTTCCCTTTGAGGTTTGAGAAGTTGAGCATACGTTGCAGAAAGGAGTGGTGGAAGGCAAAGGTTTATGGAGGCCGACGTTGGTAAAGGAAGGTTGGCAAGAAGAAGCAGGGTGAGGTAGGTGAGCCTGATGGCGTGAGGAGGCAAGGTGATAAGGGTGGGGAGGCCGAAAGGTTGGGCGCGAGGTGCAGGATGAGTGGAGGGTAGGGAAGGGAGTCAATTATGGAGGGGCAAGTTGGTCTAAATACAAGACTCAAAAAGGGCAATGGGTAGGCCCCACGAGTGGCAAAATGAATTCATAGATTGGGAATGCTGTCTGACTAATATGACATAAAACTTGTTTGAATAATAAATTAGAAAACTGCAAAAAAAAAGTAAACTAATGTCTTTTACAGCTTTGAATGTGCAGAAGTATTGAATAAATGTTTGACAACAATATAGCAAGTGAAGTTAACTGTCGAGGAAACCCAGGCTGTAAGCACCATGGGGGGTGCTATAGATCACAAACCATGCATATCCATCCATAAAAGATGGCATTACACGAGGCGAGACTATTTGCACCCATGGGATTATAGAAAGACAAATTAGCAACAAATAGAAAATGAAGCAAATGATGCCCATAAAATTTAAATCGATTACTACTAGGATAATTGTTTAATCTCTCAGGTAACATAACAATATAATAACACAAGACAAGAATAACCGAGCACAAGATTATAGTCTTCATAAACATCACATGACAGTTGAACACATGTATAATAAATCAATCAAGAATGAAAGTGAGATGGAGATGACATAAAACTGAAACTAAGTTGCAAAATGAGCGAAAACTACATGGAGCAATAGCCTAATTAGCTATGTACTTACAAGGACATTGGTCACTGGCCACATGTATCCTACATATTTTCCTGTTATGTCTTTCTGGGCAACTTTATCGAGGTGAAAGGCACATGATGATCAAGGTCTTCTGAAATTCCTTTCATTATATCACAATCCTCAAGATTTCTACATGCCCACTCACAGTTACCAATATCATGACATAATTGGTAAATAGGTGCCAGATTCCAAGGAATTTTCAAGACAGGACATAACAATCAAATTGTTGCATCCCATTCTGAACTATGGACATGTAAATCAACACACCCTAACTTGTATCCACCTTCAATAAAGAATGTAGCATGACGGAAGACTAAATCATTACTACCATTCAGATTTATTATGATCATTTGCACACTAGAATGATCCAACTGATATTTTAGGGAACCATCTATGTCTAATCTCGCATCAAAAAAGGAAAAAAAAGGGAAAAAGGATGTCCACTCTCATGATAAAAGAGTTTAATATACTTTCTCAGCCATAAGGGAAAAGTAGATCTCTACTGATACAGTAAATACAACACAAAAAAAGCAAGAAAAAAACAACCCCTCAATAAAATATTGATAAAACATTATTTCCAAACCTAACCAAAGGGATATATTTAATTAAGTATATCACCGGATCCAACAAGTTGAACCTTATTAAAGTACATGACGTAGCACCAAGGGGCTCGGCTCCTACATGAGTGTGCCACATGAGGTTGGGCATAGAAAGAAAAGCCTTCTGTATGATTGGGAATTCTAGTTAGTTTTAGGATTTAGGAGTTCCAAAGGGCACTAGGTTCCCAAACAGATTAAAAAAGCAGGCTTTGGGCCTTATAAAGGTTTCGTAATAACGGTCACAAGGGACAATACAAGGTCCAAATGAAGTAGAACTAGGATTAGGGCAATGGGAAAGGGTTTAGTTAAGTTAGAGCCATTTTAGAATTTCTACAGGGTTCTGCTAGAATCTAACAGATCCAGCAAGACAGGAGGATTATGAGATAGAGTGTCAAATTAAGCCAATTTACAGTTTCAACTCAAGTTCAAAAGCTATGGACGGTAGACATGTGGTTAGGGTAGCTTTTAAGCTAGTTTACTTGGGGTTTGGAATGATTTGGCTAGTGTTTGTCGAAAGGTTTGAATGAGCGATGAATTTGGTTGTGGCGAACATTGGACGGGGATGTGCCGCACATGAAGGGAAAAAAAGTGGCCTGAGCCACATGCCAGGGTTTGGGACTATCTCCACCAAAAGAATATGAGGGGCTCTCATATTGGACAAGACTATCCCAAACCTATGATACAGTTTTAGAGCACTCGTTATACAACAAGAGTTGACGGATATCTCCTCTCAAGGTGGTCTCTCACCCGATTGAAAACTCAAATTATATTTCACAACTTGAATATGATTAGCCAAAGGCCTACATGGCTATTTATACGGAGTTCCAAGTTCTATTGCTCTATAACTCTTGAATAGGAAACGAACTCCTAAAGATTCGAGGGAAATATGGAACTCTAAGGTTCCTAATCCAACAAAGATTGGAACCTTACTTTCTAGAAACCGAGCATAACTTAAATAAGCTAAAATTAAAATCCAACTGCAATGATGACCAAATAACGAAAAGAAAGAAACCTAATACACTTTGCAAACATTCAACCATGATTTGAAGCCAAAACATCCAAAATACAAAACGCCCATAGAGATGCAGGTAATAGATCTTGAAGAGATTTTCAATTATGTTTCGGATCGCCCCAAATGGACATCCTTGTAAAAAATTATGCCTTCACGAAGAGGTCATCAATATAGCAATTGGAATCGAGATCCAAAAAAGTGGAATCAAGACTCCTAGAGCAGAAACAGGATTCTAAAGCAGAATCTCCACTTGGGGTGCGAGGTTCCAGTAACTATAGTTTCAATGACATTAGGCCTACATCAGGGGTCAGCGTTGAGCCCATATCTCTTTGCTTTGGTTGTGGACGAGTTAGCTAGACAGCTACAAGATGAGGATTTGCGGTTTATGTTGTTTGGGATCACATGGTTATAATTGATGAGCCTAGAGATAGCACAAACGCAAAGTTAGAACTTTGGAGGAACACTTCAAAATCTAAAGTTTTTAAAATTAGTCCGGCTAAGATAGAATATATGAATGCAAGTTTAGTGATAACAGGGGAAGAAACAAGGAATTAGTGATAACAGGAGCTGAAACAAGTTTAGTGATAACAAGAGCAACGATGTGCTTCTAGAGTCTTATGCGATCGTCGCATACCAATGAAGTTGAAGGGAAAGCACTATAGGACGGTTGTAAGACTATCCATGCCTTATGGAACGGATTGTCGGCCAATCAAGAACTAATATATAATAGAATGAGTGTAGCTGAGATCAGGATGTTTAGATAGATGAGTGGCATGACTAAAAAAGATGGAATTCGGAATGAATACATTCAAGGGAGCTTAAAAATAGCTCCAATAGGTGATAAAATGATGGAAAGTAGACTTAGGTGGATTGTTCATGTGCAAGGTCAACCTTCAACAACACTAGGTACAAAGGGTAATTTGGTTCAAGTGGAAAGCTCTAAAAGGGTAAGGCTAGAATGATAATACCTAGGATAGTAGCTACACTAATTTTATGAGAGAGGCATGCCATTTCCTTTTGACAGTTACAATTGTTTCTCTTCAATTTGTGCCCTACTAAGATTGAGGATAGCACACGAAATGTGTACTTGAACGAATTTAGTACAAGTGGAAATTCCCTTCAAGGGTTGATGCCCCAATTTAGAGATGAAGAAGTTTTCAGGTATCCTAGGATGCATGAGTTCACCCATGTTTTCACTTGATTTAGGTCTTGTAAATCTCCACCTTATAATCATGAATTTGGAGCTCCAAAAATAGTGCAGTTTTAATGATCTTTAAAGAACTGAAATGAACAATGCAAGACATTTTTAGGCTCAAAATTTGTTTTCTTTCCCCCCATAATCTTTAAGGCAGCAGAGGAGATGAAAAAGCTATCAAGTTTTGGATTCTCAATCCATCTCAAAGGTGGATTCTGGAAGGGTGAACTCACTAGAATAGTTGCGTCTGCATATGCACCCAAACCCACCCTTCAAAGATATATTCCACAATTGTAGCTAAAGCACATGCCTTTATTTGATATTATCCAATACTATTTGGAATAGTTCATGTGTATGCTAGATAACATGGGATAGGCTAAATGAGAAAGGTGGCAATGGTGATTAAGTGGCAATTTGTTATGTGATACATTTCAAATTGAAATACTTGCTAAATAGTCTTTTTGGTCTTCTAAATGAAGAGGAACTGGCCATGGTATAAATAAATTTCAGTCAAGAAGATAAAAGGCTAATATGACTTACTTGCAACCAATATACCGCTATCTTCATTGTCATAAATAATAGCTGCTTGGAATCCTGCTTTCTGAGCAGTCCTAACTTTATCCTCAAAAGTGCATCCTCCTCTAATAATCAATGCAAATCGCGAGTTAGCACCTTCAACTGAGATATTTTTGTCAGTCAATGGAGTGCACGCATCGAGAGGTTCAGCTACATATAAGGTCCCACATACTCCGGATCCTTTAATTGAAGGAACTGTAGAAATACAAATGCACAAAATGTCAAACTTTGAGTAATCCACCATATATGGTCACAGGAATATTACCCAATGCTATCATCATCCAAAAAAAATAGGTTAATATACTCAGAAAAGGAGTAATAAGAAAGCAGTAAAAATAATTTCATAAAGAAAATAACACAAAACATGCTAAAAGGGAACAAGAAGAAGAAAATATTGCCAATTTTGAATATGACAAGATTAGTGTTGAAAACATCAGGTATGTCCATTAGAAATCACCCAACCCACTTAGGCACAGCACCCTTATAAAGCCTCAAAACCCCCGAACTAGGATAGGGCGTGTATTGCCACAAACTCACCCAAGTTAGTATAGTAACTCGACCAAGTTGCCAGAAACTTTTGTTGGGGGGTGGGGGAGGTAGTGTAAGGTCACTTTCACATCCTCTAGCCTCTACCGATTAGAAACGTTTAGATTTGAACGAAAACAAAGGGTTTGGCTAGAGTTAAAAAACATGTGATCTCTTTGTAATTCTAGCTCGATATTGGTTGAAATTCGATACCTAAGCCTGTTTCTCACTTCTCCCCTGCGTCATAGGATTATTTTCCACAAAAAACCACTCAAGGTCTAAGATTTGCGAGATTTCTAGAAATTGAAATACTATTTTCCTGAAAATTTCAAGAACATGAATCAAAATCAAATCCAAAATCTAGTATACAGGCTTCTTGGGGTATTTGAGGATCCCATGAAAAATATTTTAGACAACTTTTGTACCAAGCACAAAGATTGGAGGATTAACTAAAACATTGTCTAGGTAAATTGGGTTTGATTTTTTCAATTTGAATTCAAATAAATTTTTATATTTTTATAAGTGAGTTTTAGGCAAACGAAATTTTTTATTAAGCTTCATGGTTTTTTCATAACTTTTTAAATTTTTTGGATTTGTTTTTTTTACAATTTTTCCAATTTCATTTCTCAAGGGCAAACAAGGAGAACTCGGCAAGTCAAGTGACTTGTCAGACCGACTCACTCTGGGCTCCAGTGAGTAATACTAGGCAATATATTCAATAGACATATGAGAAACAAGATCATTGAAGTTACAAATAGGTTTAGTAACTTATACTCAGCTCCAATAAAAAAACTATTCCAATCAGCCCCACCCAAACCCCTCAAATTAAATAAATACATATATAAGTCTTTGATCGAGTTTCTCAAATTGAATTGAGAAAATGGATAAGCCAGATGTGTCTGATGATAATGTAAGTGCAACATCACAACCAATTGCAACAATTATTATGAAGATTATAAGGAGAGTCAAATGATAAAAACTTTGACATTTCGTTAGTGACATACTCTCAAGATCATATTAGGATGCAAACTCAAAAACACTACCCAAAATTTGAAAGCAGGCCCTAATTTTTTCAAATTTTAGGAAGTTTTTATGCTCTGATAATTAAGAATTTGTTTCAACTACATATCCATAGGATGAGCATAGCTTAGATGAGGATGTTGAGATGCACGAGTAGCAAGATAATAAAGGACAGAATTCGGAATGAATACATACGAGGGAACTTAGTGTGACTTCAATAGGTGATAAGATGTGGGAAAGTAGACTTAGGTGAGCTGGCCATGTGAAGCATAGACCTAATATAGTAACAATTACGAGGTGCGATTTGGTTCAGGTGCAAGGCTTCACAATGGCAAGAGGAAGGCCTACAAAGACATGAATAGAAATTGTGAGCAAAGATACGGTGACTTTGGTCTTACTGAAGGTATGGCCCTTGATAGAAAAAAATGGAGGAACATTATTCAAGTAGTTAACCCCAAATAATTGGATAAAGCTCCGAAGATGATGATGATGATGAAAGATTTTGTTCCAACAATAAGATTGGAACTTGTGCCCAAATTTGGAAGGGAAAACAATTCTACTACAAAACTCTCAATCCTCTATATTAAATATAGAGACAAAAACTAGGTCCGAACCTGAGTTTTTAAGATGGCATGTGTCAGTTTCCAAACCAAGTTAACCAAAACAAGTCAAATCAACACAGATCAACTCTTAGAAGTTGCTCCAAATGTTATATAACATACTCTCGATTATTACTCCTATATTTCATTGACCTATGCGATAGAAAATTACAAATAAAAGGGACCTAGAAGTCCAACAAAGTGTAGCAACAAAAGCTAGTCAATGATATGTAAAAGCTACATCTAACCAACCCCTTTTCCCAATTATCTCTCCTTCCTCCACCTTCATTTTGTGAGCTGTATATCCTGAGATCATTAATATATTTGTACCCTTAAGGGCGTAATGGTCAATATAAATCGTAAGTTCATGTTAAGGATATGATTTCATAATAATTCATTTCTTTATTCAAAATATGAAAATAACATTTTAATAAATATGAAATATAACTTGTTTTGGATGATTCTAATAAATGCTTTAAAAGGCATGGGACCAAAGAGCCCCTAGGCTGCTTAGGCAGTTCTGGCAGCCTCAGATTTGAGGCGGCCAAAATAAACAGAAAAAAAAAAAGAGTTAGGGGGCTGCCTAGGCAAGCTTTCACCTAGGCGGCACCCTAGACAGGCCACATAGGCAGCAACCTATGCCACCCATGGATGCCTGCCTCAAGGAAGGCCGGCAACACGGCCGCCTTAGCCTAGGCAGAGTTGTTCCACCCAGTCTTGAGGAAGAGACAAAGCAGCCCAGATGGTCCACCTTTTAAAACACTGGGTTCATTTTCTCATATTGTCTTGTAATGGTATCAACATCCAACGATCTTGCTTCTCGTTATGAACTTCTCTATTTTTTATTTTTTTTCTATTTTTTTTGAAATTGTTGACGTTTATGAACTTTTCTAGTTTGAAGAATAACATAAAAAATTGTACAATATTAAAAATTATACTAGACTAATGAGTAGCACTTTGGTAGAGACTTCTTGATACCCCTTTCTATTGTTAAAAGACTCATTGGTACCCCTTATTATGGATGATTCGAAGCGTTAGAATAAAATAGACAGTGCCATTGAGGATTCTGATCATTGGAGGACATAGATGAGTAGACTAGCATACCATTACGTCCCACATCACACAATACTAACAGTGCTACTAATACTGCTAACGAAGGGGGGTTCAAAAAAAAATGTTTGGAAAACCAATACATCTCCCAAGAATTGTGAGTCATATGATTATTGTATCTCACTTTTTTTATAATCATTTTCACGTGTTAATGGAAGTTACTTTATCAAAAACATACCAGTTTTTCTTTTTAGAATTTCTTCATTTTTGTTATTTTTTAAAAGATACTTGCAAAAAGCTGACCAGAAAATATTTTTCTTTCCAAATCAAACTGAGTAACATTGTGTTTTGGAATCAAAACATGAGTCACATAATGGATGGATTAAAAAAAAACAACATGGGTGAACCCACAATAGACTTCGAAACATTTACAATACACTCAGAGTTACAGATGTTGGCCATCTCCATCCAGAATGCTAAAAGAATGTTAGGGAATCAAGTTCAATGATCACACTCTATTTTATAATAGCTAATAGGACAGACCCAATGCTACACATCATCATCATCCAAGCCTTAGACCCAATGCTACACATAAGAGCTATACTATCTTCACTTACTCATACTCACCCTGTAGAAAACCACAATAAGGACCCAAATAGCCTAGCAGCAGTATATAGAAGTTCAGCATATGATGCAAATTTGAAATATGCCAGTTTTCAGGCCGTTCACAAATTTTGAGAACTATTATTTTCTTTTTGAACCCTATATTCACTGAAGTAAGGATATATTCATATGTCCTATTTTCTAGTTTTCACCCTATCAAGTGAAAAATGCATGCATTCTGTATGTTTATTAGAAAGCCTTTACCCACCACAGCATTCATATGAGACTCAACTATTCCAGTTTTCCAAAACAGGTTCCCACGAGTTAACTACTCAACCAAGTTACTCTCTCCCCCTCCCCCCCTCCCACCCTCTTCCTTCTTTACTCTTCCTCTCAGGTTTCAACCAGAGTAACTGAGATTCTTCCTGATAATGCATGAAGCTAGATGATAAGATTCTATTGAGCATCGTAGCATGCTTATTACAAGGAGAAACATTAATAGCATACGCAGTAAAACTAATAAATCCAATACTTATAATACAGTAATCTGATTATCCAATGAGACAAGCATGAGAGCTGATAACTAAAACTAAAAGAGCTAGCAAATTAACTTCATATAGAAGGCACAGAGTTCTTGGTTTCTTACCAAAGTTTGCCTCAATGTCATCAAAAGACAAGGACACATTTTGGCCAATCAAAACTACACTTGCACTGGACATGCCCACCACCAGAGAGACAATTATACACAAAAGGGGAATATAAACAAACTCCCCTCTATCTCCCTTGAACAAATTGCTAGCCATGCCTGTACAACTAATGTCCAAATCGATCCCGCTATACTTGAATATAAGCAACCTCAGTCTCACTCATATATTGTACAAATAAATCAATTCACCATCAGCCCCAATATTAAATATCTGATTTCTTGATTCGTTTCCTTATTGATAGCCTGCTGATATCAAGCCTAAGAAGAAGAGGAAAAAAACAAAAGGAAACTTTCAGAATAAATTTTACAAGGTCAATTAATCATATAAAACTTCACATAGGGCCATAAACCCTAAGCACGAAGGAGGTAAAAAGCAGGCCAAATTTTTGATACGCACCAAAAAGCAGAAAGGTGGGGAAAAAGAAAAAGGGACACCATTTAGTCTAAATCAAGATCCATGAAAAAGACATTAATGAAGATCAGAAGTATATGCTCTGAAAGACCATGTAAAACGATGAGAATAAAACTCAGGAAACCTAGGATGAAAAAGTTAAGAGAAAAGCGGAATATAAAAATCACACCCCAGAAAACAACCCATGGAAGCGATTATTTTTCTGGAAAATTCGAATCGAGGGGAGATTGCAAGAAACCCAAAAAAGGAAAAGAGAAAAATAAGATGAAAAAGAAAATTGATGAGGGGATGAGAGAGAGATTGAGGTGAAACCTGAAGATCATCAGAGGAAGAGAGAGTTGCAACCGCAAAGACGAGTGAAAACCAAAAATGGTAACGTCGGAATGGAAACGTCGGCTTCCATAATGTTCGAAGGTACAAAAACCCCAAAACCTCGTCTTTACCCTTTTAATCCGAGGTGAGAGAGAGAGCAAGACGAATGGAGAGAAAGATGATACGGAATATCCCCCGCTGCTCGAAAGAGCGGCGATTATTAAAATATTGCAGTTTTCCATATTTCGCTTTTTATAATGCCATTGACTTAACAGCACGTGAGATGCGTTGCAAAACTCGGATAAGTGCTGGGATTGTTTATCCACATAGCCGTGTCGTGTCGAATTGCTAAATTAGGATCTGGACCGATCCGAATTAGTGATATAAAAAATAAAATTAAAATAAAGATTTATAGAATGGGGTTATTTATGGATCTAAAGTAAATATTAAATAATATATATATATATATATATAAGGGTGTTTTAATAGGAATTGGGTTGAGACCCCACCATCTCATAATTGGTTCGGTCGGAGCACTTCTCATCCAGATCAATGATGAAATCGATTTATTTTAAAACACTTTACCGAGATGCACATGGCAACAAACTACCTCTAAACTTCTTTTTTTTTTTTCTAAAAGCAAATCTAAGTGTTAAATAAAAGCCAAAAGATATGTTACTCTCACAAGAATAGAATGTTTTTTTATTCTTTCAGGTAAAACCCAATTAATTTTAGGACCCTAAATTTTGATGATGCAACTTCTTCAACCCATTTATTAACTTCAATGAAAAAGATTTCCTAAGTGTAGACCATCCACTTAGATGGTAAAATCTAAGTGTTAGAAGCTCAAATTTTAATTTTCTTTTCTAGAATAATCATCTAGTAACTCTTAAGTTTTTCCAAAATTTTCATATTCAAAAAATTTAAGTCATCTGACAGAGAGCATTGGAATCTATACTCCCAAGAGAGCATAGTATTCGTGCTCTAAATAAAACTCCAAATATCGGGCTATCTAGGCACCAGCTTGTTTTAGTAAACTCACTTACCTTTGTTCCATCCAAAAACATGAGTAGAATTAATTTTCCCTAGTAGAATAAGGAAAGAAAAAAAAAGTGACTACGTTAAAGCCCTTGAGTAACGAAAAACTTTTCTAAATGGAGAGGGGATAGCAAACGGGAAGAGGTATACATACATACTGTCGTGGAAAGTGGCCACTCTTTATCTATCTAAACCATTTATTGTGCTCTCTATAGAGTATAGACCTCTTTTAATCGGAGTATAGACCTCTTACCCTTTGCTTAACCGACACTGCAACTTACCAAAAAAAACCCGACACTTCACACTTAGTTGTCGCGGTAACACGTGAGCCGGCGCTTGGGCTACCAAAGCGCTAAGGGATAAGTCCCGCCAGCTATTATTTCCATCCCGTGCCACCTCTAATTACACTCTAATTCAAGGGTGCAGTTTGCATACGGATAGGCATACGGATGTATCCGTAGGTGTAGACCTAAGGTACACCTTTAAATTTTATCATGGTATATAATTTTAATATAAAATGTTCTTAGGATTATTTCAAAATCTATTTTTATATCTAATTATAAAATTTTAAATTTCAAAAGTAGTTAAAATCAAGTTATGTTGTAAAATGTACTATTTTTTAGACTTAAAATCTTTTTATTTTTCATAATCTTACATCTCGAGGTCGAGATAATCAATCAAAGGGTTTTTCAACATTAAAACTACCTTTTCTGATAGATTTTTTAGGGGCATATGTAGTTCTACGTTATAAAGTAGCATCCTTATATAAACTTTATCCCTAATTCAAAGACCAAAGTGTAGACTATCGCACATGTCATTACACTCTAATCCAAGGTCTAATTAGTAATTACACTCTATTCCAAAGATGGAAGTGCTGACTATGATACATGTAATTACACTCTAATCCAAAGATGAACGTGTAGACTATGATAAATGTGGTCCGTAATTACGTTATGCCCAGCTATAGTTTTTAGGAAAAATTATCTTCGTACCACTTTATTTTACAATATATAGTTTCGTATAATTTTATGTGAAATTTATAGTTCTATCACTCTTTTTTTTTGAAAAATTTGTAGTTTTTCTTTTTTTTGTCACTTAGTCCCATATTAGAAACCGGCTTGATTTTTTTTTTTTTTGACAAATTTGTATTTTTTCTTTTTTTGTCACTTAGTCCCATATTAGAGACCGACTTGAATTTTTTGTTTTTTTTTTTTGCATTACGTAAGGTTCTCATGATTATGGGAAAGAATATATGGGATGATCTGATGTTCAAAACATCGGACAACCTAACTATGGGGCACACGGTCTTAAAAGTTTGATCTTTTTTACGAAGACAACGGTCTAGGATTTAGAATCTCAAAATGCTTGTTCTCGCACAAATATATCGTGAACAAGTTGTCTGAGATTTGCATTTTCAGACGAATTTATTTTCCAAATTTCTATTAATGTTAGTGGACCAATGTTACTCGATGATTCCTTATCCTACAAATCCCACAAAAGGTTCGGCAAGCTCATATTAAAAGAAAGAAAAAAAGGAGAAGAGAAAAAAAAAGGGAAAAGATATATGAGTGATGAAAGAGAAATCAAGAAAAGAAAAAAACTACAAAGAGAAAGAAAATTCCCAATATACAAACGACATATGAAAAATGTATAAGATGGTCAGGGGCAATTCCCTAGAAAAATTTGACCATACCATACTCATTTAGGGGGAAAATAAAAAATAAAAAAACCTCAAGTTTCAAAAAATCCAAGAGCTCCATAGTGCCACGAACATAAACTGCCTACCAATCCTCCCAAAAAGTTGAATCAAAATCCGAAAGGCTCCATGGTGGCATGAGCTAAAACTGCCTACCAATCCTCCCAAAAAGTTGTCGGTTATGTTTTTCTTGCACTTTAATTTTCATAGGCAGTTTTAGCTGCATCATTCTACCATCAATACTCTTGTATGTAGTAAAACAATCCCAATGAGGCCACATATGATAGGAACATCATGAATTAAGAAACCTTTACTGCCATATCGAAACCCTCATATGGATTGTTTTACCTCATACAAGAGTATTGATGGTAGAATGATGCAGCTTGCAAGACCATTGGTTTTGGGACAATTACTATCAAGATGTATAATGGAGTTATGAGAACCTTGATTGATGTTAAACATGTTCCAAATCTGTAGAAGAATCTTATTTCTTTGGGTGCCTTGAACTCTAATGGCCACAAATTTGCGGAGAAGGTGGAGTTTTGAAGGTTCTAAAGTGTGCTCTGGTTGTTATGAATGGCAAGAAGATCAAACCGAATTTAGATATTGCTGCTTAGGAATAATATCACATATAGGGCAGTAGTTTTTGTATCTGATGTTGGTGACTTTAACTTGACTTTATTGTGGCATATGTGGTTGGGCCACATGGGTGCGAGAGCTTTGACGAAACTTAGCAAATGTTAATTGATCAATAGCGTGAAGAAGTACAAGTAAGACTTATGTGAGTACTGTGTCTATGGTAAGCAGTGTAGGGTGCAGTTTTAGATGTCAAACCACAATAGTCATTCTGGACTATATTCATTCATATGTATGGGGGCCTGCATTGGTTGTCTCAAAAGGTGGATCTTTATATTTTGTTTCCTTCTGGACGCTCCGAAAAATGTGATGGTTAGATTGATTAGGATGTTTCAATAAATATTAGACTCCAAACAAATTATCAGAGAACATCATAATTGCGGCCAAATTATCCCATGCATTCCATATCATAGAAACCATGTTTTTCTATCATATACTTAGAACGAAATAATTCCAGAGGTTTAATCTTTTGTTACAATTTCCATCAAACTGGAGTAGGTCGAATACTCTTGATTCAAGTCTTGAAACCTATACATTCATTTCTAAGAAAGAAAATATACAGACATATGAAAGAAAGGAATAATACTAATAGGCATATCAACTAATATATCTTACTTTAAATGCATAAATGTTATTCCTTGAGTCTGTTCCTTCTCCGGGAATGGGCTTCAAGTGGATTAAAAGCAAAATAAAATAGATTTATCTCCCTCTATCTTAGATATGTCCCAGAGGACAATCATATTCATCTTTGCGGTGGTTTATTACCTTCATCCTTATCTTCTCACGTTGATGCGAATCCACACGCTGATCTTCATTTTGATAATCATGGATTGAAATGGATTAATTTGTACTCATAGGTGTTTTCTAATGATAATTATATATTCAGTCAATGCTTATCTTTAATTTGAATTTACGGATCCATTACTCAACATAATTATCACATGAGAAAAATCAAGGATTCTAGTATCTTCTATCATCCGACAGTTAAGCTTCTGAAATGTAGTTTGACATGTCTTCGTACGCTGATGCAAGTCCACGAGTTGATCTTCATTTTGATAATCATGGATTAATTTGTACCCGTTGGTGTTTTCTAATGATAATCATATATTCAGTCAATGCTCCTCTTTACTGAAATTTATGGACCCATTATTCAATAGAATTATTGCATGAGCAAAATCAGGGATTCAGGTATCTTTTATCATCCGACAGTTAAGCTTTTGCAACGCAACATATCTTTGTATTTCTTCAGCTGTTTCTTGATGGTAAGTCTTTTGATTACAAAAATTGGTGAGACTAAAGAGGCTCAAATATTAACACAAGGGTTCAAGTCTTGCCTTAAATGGACCACAGATGAGAGAGATCTTGTCTATTCAAGCTACTATGTTTATGTTGGAAGTTGCACAACAATACTAGTAAATTGTGGATGTACTAGCTTCCACCATATGAATCAAATAATACCACACCTTTTAAGGGTGATAAAGCAGCGAGTCAGAAATCCAATGGTCTTAGTCCCATGAGAAAATTCCTCATATAAAGAGAGAAATCCCAATTTTAGTGACTGAGGGTCATCTTAACTGTTACATATGGCTCATAAAGCTTTTAAGGCCTTAACTGCCAAGGAATACAGGCGATGGGTTAATTCACCTCTGGATGATATTAAACTTTAGAGTGAGGGATATGTTGCCTCAAATATGATTCCCTGAGGGTCTGGCTTAATCCTAAAACACGAAGTTCTAGGATGTCAGTCAAGGCATATCTTAACTGAAGGTGGATATGGTCATTAAGTTAAACTAATTACAAACATTCCCCAATTTATATCATTCTTGGACATAGAGGTATA